ACCAATATCCTGAAACCCAAGACCACCCTGTTCCTTTGGTTTACATAACTTTTCCCAAGAAACCCATGGGATTTTTCTTTTCTTATCTCCACTACTCCACCAAAACTCTATGATCGCACTCGTAATTCGTTCACATAGACCTTTAGGTAATCTAAAGACAGACATTGCATATATCGGAAGAGCTAAAGCCACTGATTTTCTATTTCACTCTTAATTAAGTTTTTTCATATATTTTGTATACTCGGGTTCAAGAATAAGGATCTTACTAGATCTCAGATAAAGTATACACACAAACTGAGATGTGCAACCAGGTGCATTCTGATTTGAGATTAGTATTCTTCATCAAGTGTATTTTTTTTTGTGTAATTGGTTCTTCATCCAATTTGAAGTTCATTGTTGAAACTAACGCATTTTGTGAGGTGAGGCGCCTTTTGGTCGTTTGGGAATTGGTATTCTTCTAATTATCCTCCCAAACTATTGAGATAACGAGTTTTGTAAAGTTTTCACAGTTACATACTTAGTTACATCAAAAGCCACTGTTTTATAAAGATGATTTTGTAGAGTATGGTCTAACCATCCAACTTAGAACCTTAGAGTTTACATGAGAGAAAATAATACCGCCAGTTTTGGTACTTTTTGCAAGGCTATCGTTTCACATATTTAAAGTAACATGATACAAAATATATTGAGCAATAAGTAAATTGAGAACGTCATTGGAGAAATTCTTCCGTTTCGGCCAAAGAATGACGAGTTTGTGTCTTCTCTCTTAAAGTAGATTGTCTAGATTCAAAAGTTGTGTTTTTTTTTTTGAACAAGAGTTGTGTAGGTTGTGACATAATATAGAAAAATTATCTATGCTGAGCCTCTTTCGATAATCTTCTCTCTTAAAGTAGAATTGTCTAGTTTTAAGAAGATGACGTTTGAAGTCAACCTGTGATGAGACTCTCTGTGTAACCCACGAAACAACTTGATTCAGTTAACCAATCTTGCTTTAGATCGACTTCAAACGTCATCTTTTTAAAACGATCTCCCTTGAGATCGTGGTGGATAACACTAACCTCACTTTTGGAACAGATAGGTGCAAAAATAATGTCACCCATATGATTAGTAACACATTTTCATACGTAGATGACTATGGCAATTTGCCATGGTAGTTTATCGAAAGACTTCTCTTTGTAATCCTGTTTTCCTGCTTCGAAAACGAACAAATCAATATGGCTACTTTGCCATGGTAATGTATTAAATTTCTAGAACCGTTGTCATGAAAATACAAAGCTTTCATTTCCTTAGATACTCAAGCAAACTTCTCAGAGTTCAAATCAAATCTCATCAGACACATCATTCTTGTGTCCGTCCTCGCCATGTAGTACAATGTGAATACCTGATAGTGATTCGGTGTTGCGTGTCCTGCAAGATTCGGTGTGATGCACACAATACTTTGTACTGATTATTGACAGGATCATATCCGAAAAATCACCTGAGTTGGCTTGGTGTGTTGTTTCGACTAGCCTTGGTGAAGATATGGTCTGTCCGGTGGTAGGATTACATATGATATCTCTAATCTTCACCAAACCATTAAGTAATAATTAGGGTACAAGGTTAGACTGCGGGAAGTGTTATTGTGGATAAAAAATTATATTAAATCATTTATAGAAGTTTATAAAATTATTTATAAGACATGAAAATTTATAAATATGTTTGTGAAATCTTATAAAATCGTTTGTGATTCTATGGTGGAGAACTGGAGATGATAATCATATAATTTACGTTATACCAAACAATACGGCATATCAGAAGAAGTATGAAACATATACCAAAAGGAAATACATGATCATGAAGGTGATTCAAGATCTATATTAAAGCAACTACTCTATAATTCTATTGTAGGTTGCAATCAGCAAATGAGAGGAAAAAGGAATTTTGAAATACAAAGCAAGAATAGTATTTAATCTGTTCTACTTATAAAGAACCATAAAATAGCCATTCCCAATCCCAAAAAGAAAGCAAATAACAAGATTTGTAGCCACACTGGTGGCGGCCGTTGAATCCATATTAATTCGCCATTTCCATGAGGGCAACCTCCAGCGTCGGCTCCACACTCGTAGCAAAATTCATGCCCACATCTAACGAATATAATAATGCTTAATCAAATGTTACATTAAACAAATTCGAAAGGGAAGTGGTGATTATATAGAGAGATGATACCTGCACTTTATGCTGATGCAGCCTTGAGAAAGTTCAATCATGTGGTGACACTTTCCACATTGACGCCACATTTTCTCGTCTGCTAGAGCTTTTAGCTTTCCATCGTTTTCTGTAGGATTTGGATGCAACCTCTTGTAATGGTCGCACAACATATTACTATGCCACGGAACTTTACAGTTGATGCAAAAGGGTTCACCGCATTTAACGCAGCATCTCCTAACCCCAGCTTCTGTAGTAGATTTTGAGATCTCCGCTACCGACATTAAAGCAGAACACGTAGGCTTTGGGCAATAGATTCTCGGCGATACAGGAATGGATTCCTCTCATCCTTTGTACCCAAATTGCGCATAGTTTAGGAGTCAAAAGAAGAGCACAGCGTCGCAAAGTCAACTTAGACTTGCAACGATAATGAGGACATCTCACAATACCTTGCTCCAGTAGCCTACTTCTATATGTCGTCTCACACACTCGGTACAAAACCGATGACGGCATTTATCAACATAAAACATTTGATCAGCGTTGATATCTTCATCTAAACATATAATGCAAGTCGTTTTCTGGGTAGACTTGGCTAGGGGAGGAAGATCCACTTGTATCCTAATCCTTGTTTCATAAACGGTTGTTTCTCTAGCTAGTGTATACGCATATCTGATATCATCTGGGGACACAAAAAAATTAATATTACAATTCATAAACTAGTAATGAAACCATTAGTAATTATTCGGTGAATCAGGAATTTAAGCCTTAGAAAACCAATGGTCGTTTTATGTATTACAACAACATGTCATGACAAGAGGAAAAGTAAAAGACGTGCGAGGCAAGGAAAACTTACTAATCGGTAAATAGGTTCACAATCGCAGTATATGGAGATATGAGTTATCCCCAAGCCCACGGCTTCGGTTAGTCCTTGCTTCAATGCTCTAAGCTCAGCTTCCAACTCAGTAACGCCGGAGCCAAAAATTGGTGTCTTCATCTGAAACAAGACAACACCTTTCTCCCCACAAATTGCAATCCCAAGTCCGCCGAATGAGTCCTCATTAACCATACCCTTGAAGTAAAGCCTGCACAAGCCAAAAGTTTTTGCCGGCGATGGTTTCACGGCGATTTTTGGGTCATCTATTCTAGAAAATTCATTGACCATCATCTGTTCTTTGCTACCGCAACAGAATTCTCTTTAGTCAAAGAAAAAACAGAATTCTCCGAAGATTCTCGAGTTTACACTTTATATGAATGTACCAATAATATTCATATTACAAAGGGGAAATATCTTTGGATAAACATGTAATTCTATTTAATATTCTGATTTATAGATTTGTGGTGGATTTAATAAGGAAATATCCTTAGAGGGGCACAAGTATAATTGATTACAGAAATTATAAAAAAAAATGTCTCGTTGTTTATAATTTACAGACTAATTTCTTATGTTTGCCACAATGCTTGGGTAAATTCTTAGATTTACAATCCAAAATAACTGCAAGATACCCGTAATTATTTTTCTTTGGTAAAAATCAAGTATACGTTTTCTTGTAGCACTTTAAATGTTGTGTATATTCCGATAATGTGTAATATCCCCACAAATTGCTTCTTAGGACACAAATATCACTAGGAAACACACAAATATCTCTAGTAGATATATGAAAATGCGGATCAGGCAATATCTAAACTAGTAGTATTTTGATTTTTCTACATACTTTTACGAAAATTTGGTAATCTAAAATAAGCTTGCAATTATTTTGTAGTTTCTAAAATCTATTATAAATACTTTAAGGTTATTTTGTTGAGAAAATCTCAATCATAGCAGTAAAAATTTTATATCAACAAAAAATACTCAAGGGTAAAAATCACGATATTGGGGATGATTGGTTGAACTGTAGCTGTAAAAGTTTTACTGTAGAAAATAGTCTGTAGCATTTTTTGATTTAGCTGTAAAAGATGTAGCTTTAAAACTTATTGCTACAGCAACATATTTTCTACAGCAAAAAAAATGTGACTTTAGAAAATAAGGATTTTACAACCATTTTTTTTAGCTTTTTGCTGTAGCTTTAAAAAATAAGATAAATCATGAGGGTGATTGGTTGGGTTGTAAGTAATGACTTTAGATTTAATTTCTATCTACAACCATTTAAATCACCAATCATGCTTTAAGTAGATTTTTAAAGTTAAAGTCAAAAAATTGAAAAAGTGGTTGTAGGAACCCTATTTTCTAAAGCAAAAAATTATTGCTGTAGGATTGTTGTAGGAATATCTTTCCTTTTTTATTTTTTTTTCATTTAATTTCTATAGCTACATTAGATACAACTACATCAAAAACATCTACAGTCTAAATTCTACAGTAAAATTTTTAAATCTACAGTTCAACCAATCACCCCCCATGATTGGTGATTTAAATGCTGTAAATAAAAATTAAAGCTAAAGTCATCACTTACAACCCAACCAATCACCCTCAATATCTTTTTAATGGCTAAATTTACTGTAATTAGAGTCTAATCTGTGCGCTTAGCATAATTTTATTTTAGATTTTTATTTCAAAATAGTAAATTTTGAGATTTTGGCTTCAGAAAAACCTCGTTTGAATTATAAAAATAAAAGTACCGAACGCTGAGCACATGATGTAAAAGCATCTCCAATGGTATTACTACCATTATAGTACTTAAACATTATAAAACTATTTTTTTTATTTGAATAGTTAAGGCTTCTAATTAAAAAAAATTAGTCCAATGGTGTATTCTATTTTTTAGTCTTTAGAGAAAAATTTTATTAAATTGTGAAACATCTGAAATTTAAAATATTATTAACTGCATGATTAAATATAAAAATACAATAATTAATAATCTTCATCACTAAATTTGTTCCAAATATTTTCGACAAAATCAATTTTTAAATGTTCATGTATACGCCTATCGTAAACATGATTCTGAATGCCAAGTATATTACCGAGATTTGTAGGCATGTTGGTACTATAAGACATATCTACCTGTGAATTTCTAATTACGTCTCCTTCTTCAAATTCAGATATATCGTACTGAGTGTATCCATCTCGTTCATTTTCGACGATCATATTATGTCGTATGATACATGTTCTCATAATTTTCTCTAGTTTTTCCTTGTCCCATGAAAGAGTCGAGTTTTTCAAAATCGAGCCTGCAATACTCCAAAAGCCCGTTCCACATCTTTTTGGGTTACTTCTTGAATTTTAGCAAATAACTCTACTTTATAACCTTGACGAAGTGAGATAGATTGGATAAATGTTGACCATTTTGGATATATACCGTTTGTGAGATAGTAGGTCAGACTATACATGTGTCCGTTGACCACGTACTATAATTTGAGAGTCAGACCTTGTAAAATATTATAAAAAATAAGAGATCAGTTGAAGACATTAATATCGTTTAAGATATCTGGAGTGGAGAACCAAAACAAACGTGTCATAAACCAAATTCCATCGAATGAATCCTCATTAACCAAACCCTTGAAGTAAAGTCTGCACAAGCCAAAAGTTTTTGCCGGCGAAGGTTTCACCAATCCGTTGACCATCATCTTTTCTTTGCTACCGCAACAGAATTCTCTTTAGTCAAAAGAAAAAGAAAAACAGATTTCTCCGAAGATTCTTGAATTTACACTTTATATGAATGTATCCATACAACAAAGGGGAAATATCTTTGGATAAACATGTATTTCTATTTAATATTCTGATTTATAGATTGGTGATGAATTTAATAAGGAAAAAGTATCCTAGAGGGGCACAAGTATAATTGATTAGAGATTATAAAAAAAAATGTCTCCTTGTTGTTTATAATTTACCGACTAATTTCTTATGTTTGCCACAACCGTTGGGTAAATTCTTAGATTTACAGTCCAAAATAACTGCAAAATACCCGTAATTATTTATTTACTTATTTTTTGACTACACCCATAATTATTAACCTTTTGTAAAAATCAAGAATATTTTTCTCGTACCACTTCAAATGTTGTTTATATTACGATAATGACAGTGACATGCCTCTTAGGAAACACACAAATATCTCAACTAGAGATATGAAAATGCGGGTTAGGCAATATCTAAACTAGTAGTATTTTGAATTTTCTATATACTTTTATGGAAATTTGGTAATCTAAAATAATCTTGGAACTAGATTTTGACCCGTGCGACCGCACGTGTATTTAATTTTATATTTTAGTTTATATTTCTGTTTAATGTTATATTTGTAAATGTAGTCATTTTTGTAAATGTAAATGTTATATTTATACTTCATTTTATATTTTTACATTTTAACGTAAAATATATCACCGATATTAAGTATCATATATACAAATCCAACATTTATAATTAGATTCATGTCTAAGATATATAGTGAATACATTTTTTAAATGAAAAATATGAAAATAGATAATTATGAACTAGCAGACTAACTATAAATGATACATTTTCTATAACATTTCTAAGATACTAAAATGATTGTTAAACTTCTACCAAATTTGGAACCTATAAAGTTTAAGATTTAAATTTAATGTAACTGATAAGGAATTGGCCGTATGTTTGTGTACATTAAACCACGTGTGCTGATATTTTTTATTTTTTCAAAATTTATCCGTGTCAAAAAGTTACTAATACAATATCTATAAATATAGTAATTTTATAGTTTATATTGATTGATTTTATTTTGTCTTTGTAAACCATCAATTGTATCACCATCACTTTTACCATATGAGCACAAATGTTTTATTTTTATTTTTATTTTTTGTGGATAAAAATTCTATGATAATATATAATAAATTGTTTTATATACATGTTAAGTTGCTAAATAATTAAAATGGTGCATGTAATATATTTATATTGGTGAATAATAGTTTGTTCATAAAAAAAGGGGTGAATTTGCCCAAAATCCTATAAGAAGTGTATAATTAGGTGAATGCACAATTCAAGTTTTTGTGGGGATTGGATTTTGGACAGAATTACCATACTAACCTCATGACATTTTATTGTGTAGAAAAAAGAGTAGGGACGAAAGAAGAAGTAGGCAATAGAACCCTAAACAAGTTTTATTTTTAATTGGGGGGTTAGTAAT